ATTGGGTTAGTTCTTACATGCCATTCTCTATGTCCTGAAGTGAAAGAGCCATCCTGTGTTCCACTTGTTTCAGACCCGGACTCACCCTTAGTTTGTGGGTAAAATGGAGGGCCTCCCTCTTAGGGAGGCAGTTTCAATTGTGGACACCAAGTTAATCTTTCAAAAAAACCTTCTAGACCATTTTTCTTAGAAAGTACACACATCTCCAGCAGTAAGAGGCCCTTTTCTTTTCTTTTCTTTTCTTCTCTTTTGTTTTTGAGACAGAGTCTCACTGTGTTGCCCAGGCTGGAATGCAGTGGCGTGATCTCGGCTCACTGCAACCTCCACCCCCCAGGTTCAAGCCTCAGCTTCCTGAGTAGCTGGGACTACAGGCGCATACCACCAGGCCTGGCTAAATTTTTGTATTTTTAGTAGAGACAGGGTTTCAACATGTTGGCCAGCTGGTCTTGAACTCCTGACCTCAAGTGATCTACCCACCTCGGCCTCTCAAAGCACTGGGATGACAGGCGTGAGCCACTGTGCCCAGCCAATAATTTCATTTCACTGTTCTTAAACGTTGAAAGTAATGCAGGTTCTCGTAGAGTTAAAAAAAAAAATACAGAAAGGTGAAGCAGGAAGTGAGTCTCCCTATTATACCTCCACTTCTGTCCGCTCTTCAAGGTGAGCACTCTTGACACTTGAAGGTACACGGAATTCTATTATTATGCAGCTAACACTGCTACAGTATTTACTATGTGCCAGCCCCTATTCTAAATGCTTGATGTACGTTAACTCACTAATTCTCATTATTAAGAGGACACTGAGACACACAGAACTGAAGTGATTCTTCCAAGATCACCCTGCTAGTATGTGGCAGGGCCAAGATTCAAAGGCATTCTGGTGCCATACCCTGTGCTCATTACCTTTATGCTATACAAGCCAGATAGATAGATAGATAGATAGATAGATAGATAGATAGATACGTAGATAGGCAGATAGATGGACAGATAGATGGATAGATAGATGGATAGATAGATATCTACATATAGCATATAGATATACATGCTATATATGCTATATATTGATATACTATATGTCAATATGTAGCATGAGACATATATGTATATATAGATATTGTATATACAGAGATCGATATATACACACATATATATCACATATATATCATATAGTTTTACAGATATATGCCCAAGAAAGTTATATATATATCTCATATATATGTATATATACATATATATGTATCTCATGCTATATATTGTCCCACAGGTTGACCTTGTAAGTCACACTATATCATGGACATCTTTCCATGTCGGCACATACAGGTCTACTCTCTTCTTTGAACCGTTGCTTAGCATTCCACAGGACAGGTACCGTTTACTTAACCAACCCCTATCAAGTTTCTCACATATCTTTGAGCACTTGCGTAAGTGATTTCTGGGTAGATTTCTCGAAGTGGAATTGCCAAGACAATGGATATGTTTACATGAAATGTCAATGGACACCACTGAATCGTTCTCTCAGAATGCTACACCAACAGGTGTGAGTTCACTTTACCTCCCAGGACCACACTGGCTTTCATTAAGGTTTTGAAGGTTTAATCATCTGATAGGTGAAAGTGTTTCTCTTTTTAATTTGCATTTCTCAGATCACTGATGAATTTGAGGATCTTAACTTTGTTAGTCATTTGTATTTTTCCATGAATGACCTGTTCATATCTTTTCTTCTTTTTTTTTAAGTTATTTATCTTTTTCATATTTGTAGGAGCTTTTTGTGTATTAGGGATGTTAACCTTTTTTTATCATATATGTTACAATACTTCGAAATGCAGTGGGATAATTTAGGAATCAGAGAGACCGAGGGGTTGAGGAGGATTTATTATTTAGGTGCACTGGCTCAGATTAACATCCAAAAAAAACTGAGCCCCAAACAAAGAGTCAGGTTACCTTTTAAGCATTTTGTGGGGCTGGGGGAGATCTGTGCAGGGGGAAGCGTATTACAGAAGCGAGAAACAAAGTCAATTGAGACATGCATTACATCATTTCTTACTTTTCAAGGAGAAATATGTTTTACGACTTGAGTTTATTTGCCTAGTGACCTTGCAGCTGCACAGCTAGAGAAACAGGGTCTTCGCCATGCCTGGGAAAGGAGAGATAAGGCTCACTAGCCACAGTCAGAAAAACAGGCAGTTAATTTTTAGAGGATTCCACCTCTTTTTCTTTCTTAGGGGGAATTGGGGGTTTTTTTTACATACATCTGAGTTTTTGCTTACACATTCTTTAATTTCTTTTAATTCCTGTTTCAAAATATCTTGTTCAGCCTGACATGTGTTCAGTTGTATTTCATTGTTTGTGATATCGTATGTCAGACAGAAGTCTCTCTTTTCCTTTATGGTCAGTGGACTTCGTGCAATTTTTAGGAAGGTCATTCCCACCCCTAACATTATATACATTTTCTTTTACACTTTCTACTGATATTTCTGTACTTTTGTTCCTTAAGCTTAATAGGAATCCATCAGAAATTTACTTTTGTGGCCGGGCACGGTGGCTCAAGCCTGTCATCCCAGCACTTTGGGAGGCCGAGACGGGTGGATCACGAGGTCAGGAGATCGAGACCATCCTGGCTAACACGGTGAAACCCCGTCTCTACTAAAAAATACAAAAAACTAGCCGGGCGAAGTGGCGGGCGCCTGTGGTCCCAGCTACTCGGGAGGCTGAGGCAGGAGAATGGTGTAAACCCGGGAGGCGGAGCTTGCAGCGACAGAGCCAGACTCAGTCTCAAAAAAAAAAAAAAAAAAAAAATTTACTTTTGTGTATGATGTGAATATAGGTTTGTATTTGTTGGAACTCTTGATTGCAACTGACAAAAACCCAAGACAAGCTAGCTTAGATAAGATGACAGGGGAGGAGAGAAGCTCAGAGGGTTAGAGTCCTTCTGGGGTGACGTTTTCGGGTGGGAGTGGGCTGCCCGAGAGTCACTCATAGTGACCAGGCCTGGCCTTCCCAGCAGATACCACATGCCCTGGAGTTGAGGGGCAAATGTTAAGTAGAGTGGCATCTGGTTCTGGTCTAGAGATTTCTGAAGGCAGGAAGTTGTTGGAACTGTCCACAATGTAATGTACCTGGGAAGAGACAGAACCACCCTGCCCCTCCCTCCCAGGTCTTCACAGCCCAGAAGGCAGTGGAAGGGAAGTTCAGCGCTTCCTGGTGGGAGGGCAGAGACCACAGCCCTCACCTGCCCAGTTACCTGCTGGAGCAATAATGGGACACTCACTCCAGAACAGTGTTGGGGACACTAAATGCCGCAGGGGGCAGTGGGAGACGTGATCCTAGAAAGGACCCTCCTGTGGGGATTCTCAGTGTAAAGGAGAACCCCTCCCCAGAGAAACCACATTTACTAATGTGCAGAGACCACCAAGTGCGCAGGGGCCCCCAACATCAGACAGAAGCTAAATGAACCTCAGGGCAGGCAGGGACCCCCAGCTCCACCCTCCAAGACAGGCGCTCACTTAAGTAACCATACAGGAGGAGTTACAACTTGAAAAAAGAGGGGGAGTTTTCTTTTACTGCCCCCCTCTCTCCAGCTCCCCCAATCTCCCCCTCATCTCATCCCCCATGTCTCCTACCCCCACTCCCCACCTCCAGCAGCCAAGGTCTGAGCTCTGGCCTGGCTGGCTTGGTGGAATAAAAGAGTTTAGAGCCAGGTAGAGCACCTAGTGTGTGTGTGTGTTTATCATGTAATTACATGAATTTGTGAGATTACATGAATTATGTAATTTCTTTTATTTATTTATTTTTCAAGATGGAGTCTGACTCTGTCGCCCAGGCTGGAGTGCAGTGGTGCGATCTTGGCTTATTGCAACCTCACCTCCCAGGTTCAAGCGATTATCCTGCCTCAGCCTCCAGAGTATCTGGAACTACAGATGCACACCACCATGCCCGGCTAATTATTGTATTTTTAGTGGAGACGGGGTTTCGCCATATTGGCCAGGCTGGTCCTGAATTCCTGGCCTCAAGCGATCTACCTGCCTCAGCCTCCCAAAGTGGTGGGATCACAGGCATGAGTGACTGAGCCCGGCCGGCATTGTCTTATTGTCTGTGTTTCCTCAGTGCTTTGAACAGGGCCTGGACCCAGTGAAGGCGCTTTATAAAATGCTTGTTGATGAAAGAATGAATTTGTCACCTTAAAAAACATGCCAAAACGTTTAAACTTTATGGCTCTCAAAAACTTTAGAGTAAGGGAGTTAACTTGAGTAAATTCTTGCTTTATGCAGAGTACTCTGTCAATAGATTACAGGATGGATGATCGGGGGAACGTGGTTTTAGAGGGGATAGTTCAGAGGCCATTGCAATGGTTTAGGATAACATTAATAAGACCGTGAGCAAGGACAGTGTGAATAGGAAGAAAGGACTGAGAAGAAGTCAGATCAGCTGGACTTGGCAACAAATAGGATGGTGGGAGGAGTGTAGCAGAAGAACTTCAAGACAATTCTTTGAGGTCGGGCACAGTGGCTCACGCCTGTAATCCCAGCACTTTGGGAGGCCGAGGCGAGCAGATCACCTGAGGTCAGGAGTTCGAGACCAGCCTGACCAACATGGTGAAACCCTATCTCTCCTAAAAAATACAAAAATTAGCCAGGCATGGTCCGGTGCCTGTAATTCCAGCTACTTGGGAGACTGAGGCAGGGAGAATTGCCTGAATCCGGGAGGCGGAGCTTGCTGTGAGCCAAGAGCGTGCCATGGTACTCCAGCCTGGGCAGCAAGAGTGAAACTCTATCTCAAAAAAATAATAGTAACAATTAATAAATAAATAAAAACACAAAAGTTAGCCAGGCGTGGTGGCGGTTGCCTGTAATCCCAGCTACTCAGGAGGCTATTATCGCTTTTATCACAGAGAATCGCTTGAACTCGGGAGGCAAAGGTTGCAGTGAGCTAAGATTGCTCCACTGCACTGCAGCCTGGGTGACACAGCAAGACTCTGTCTCAAAAAAATAAAAATAAAAAAGCCAATTCTGTGATTTCAAACCCATCGGGCTATCTCTCATATCATCTTAGACACACCCACGTGCATCATGTGTTCACTGATGTGTAGATGTCATCCAAGACTATGTCCCTGCTTGGCTTCCATCATCCAGTGTAAATGTTTTGGAAGAGCTATGCTTGTTTTAGCTTTGGAGATGGTAATTAAGAGTGAGCTGTAAAAACAGACCTGCGGGTTCTGTTTGTCAGTTTCTTGCTGTCACTTTATTTTCTCCAGTCTGGCCAGCATGGCAAAAATTCCATCTCTACTAAAAATATGAAAATTAGCCGGGCACGGTGGCACGTACATGGAATCCCAGGTACTCAGGGGGTTGAGGCAGGAGAATCGCTTGAACCTCGGCTTCCAGTGAGCCGAGATCATGCCACTGCACTCTAGCCTGGACAACAGAGTGAGGCTCTGTGTCCAAAAAGAAAAGAAAAGAACTTTATTTTCTATCACCTCCTGATTGCTGATTCGGAACTCCCATCCACCAAGCTTCAGGAAAACTTAATCTCAGTTGTTCCTGCTCCTCTGCAGGATGGTATTAAGGGCTCTAGGACATCTGATGCCGTGCCAAGGCATGAGAGTGGGTCGCTGACTCTTAGCTATTGAGTCGCTGCTGAAACAGTCATTGTTCCTGCCGCTTGGCTCTTGCAGGTCCACCTGGCTTATATGTGAGAGACTTTTCTTTTTTTTTCTTTTTTTGAAACGGAGTCTCGCTCTGTTGTCCAGGCTGGAGTGCAGTGGCGCGATCTCAGCTCAGTGTGAGACTTTTCTGACACTGTCTGTGGTCCTCTCTTCCTAGGCTCAGGATTCATTTTTTTTTTCAGGGGTCTTGTTAGACCCTTAGAACACTGCCAGGAAGCAGGGTCCTCTGACCTTGGAACCCACAGATCCTTCCTTCTCTCATTCCCACCACCCAGCAGAGTAAATCTTTCCAGGGAAAGGACAATGGTAGGAGGAAGTAATAAAGTCCTTCCCTCATAACTTCTCCAAGATTGATCTGTTTTACTACATCTTGAACGTGGAACCAAATCTTAACTGCTGGGGGCATGGGAGTGGGGTGGAGAGGGAAACAATTAAATAACATTTCAAAATATTATATAATTATATTCAAAAGCATGACAGGCGTAGAAAAGGGATCCAGCTGTTCATGCCCTGAGGTACTAACAAGAGATTCTTTGAAGGGACTGGGATAATAGGAGGTTGCTATCCTTTCATGTTTGAAAGCAGCTTCTGCTTGTTCCGTAATAAGCACACATTGCTTTTATAAAAATAAAAATAATTCATAAAAGTTCACTTCTGAAGACTCAGGAGAAAAAGACTCAGCTTAGGTAACCCCTCCATACCAAAGTATCCCCCCGAGCAGAACTGCCTCCCTAGGCTGTCACCACAGCCTCGCATACATATGACTAATATCATCATACCGATGACACTTTAAGGCAGCTGATTATACTCATGTCTGTTTCTCTTATAGACTGTGAGCCTCTTAAAACCAGTGACCATTGCTTTTTTATCTTTAATCTCTAGCAGATACCTCTGCATGCCTGACATGCATGGCTACTCAATGAATATTGCAGAATAAACATTGCATTGTGTTTTCAAACTCTCGTAGAACTTTCCATAAGGTGTCTCATTTAGTTAGTTTGTTGTTGTTGTTGTTGTTGTTTTGAGACAGAGTCTCTTTGCTGTCCAGACTGGAGTGCAGTGGTGTGATCTCTGCTCACTGCAACCTCCACCTCCCAGGCTCAAGCAATTCTCCTGCCTCAGCCTCCTGAGTAGCTGGGATGACAGGCATGCACCACCACACCCAGCTTATGTTTGTATTTTTAGTAGAGACAGGGTTTCACTGTGTTGGCCAGGCTGGTCTCGAATTCCTGACTTCAAGTGATCTGCCTGCTTCAGCCTCCCAAAGTGCTGGGATTACAGGAATGAGCCACCACGCCTGACCTGTTTGTGTATTTTACAGGCAGAGGACATCTAACTTTCAAACCAGCTGACTGGCATTCTGCCCCACAGTGAGTTCAGCTAGGTGAAGGGCATCTCTTAGAATGCTGGGGACCCATCTGTTCAGGGGGAGCACTGGAAGGTGGATCCAGCCACTGAAGTATGATGAGCAGCAACTGACTCATTTTTCCTGTTTTCTCTCAAGTCTCAGAACATAACATCCCCACTAGGATCTCACCACTAAGACTGAGGTGGCTGAAAACCACCACACAGGCTTTGATTTCAAAAAAGAACACTCAGAATACAAGAGAATATGGATTTCTGCCATTTTTTCCAGTATACAAAGAGAATTGAGGCAATCATATAGCTTTTAGTCACAGAAGCAGCATATAGACACATCCAAAGTCAAAGTAAAGTTGTAAAAATAAAGCATTCATTTGCTTTTAGAAAACTTTCAGGATTTTCCAAGGAAAATAAACTTTGGAGTTTGTTTTTTGTTTTTGTTTTTTTGAGACAGAGTCTTGCTGTGTCACTCAGGCTGGAGTGCAGTGGTGCAATCTCAGCTCACTGCAACCTCTGCCTCCTGAGTTCAAGTGATTCTCCTGCCTCAGCCTCCCAAGTAGCTGGGTTTACAGGTGCCCACCACCATGCCCAGCTAATTTTTATATTTTTAGTAGAGACGGGGTTTCACCATGTTGGCCAGGCTGGTCTCGAACTCCTGACTTCAGGTGATCCGCCTCCCCGCCTTGGCCTCCCAAAGTGCTGGGACTACAGGTGTGAGTCTCCACACCCAGCCAACTTTGGAGTTTGAAAAGAAAAGCAGAATATGGCTGGTTTCTATTTCACATGAGACAGGAGACCCTGAGCGCTGATCAAACACCAAAAGGGGGCTGGAATAGCCTCCGTGGATACCAGGGAGTCCTGGAAACTCCAGGCCTGGCTAACAACATGGGGCACAGGAGGCAGGAGCAGTTGAAGGTAGAGAGCTCCGCAGCAGGGAGTGGAGAGGGACACAGGGCAGAGCGAAGGGATGGTTTGTCCTCCTTTCAAGGAGAAGCAGCAACAAAGCTGTGGGAACCAAATATGAAACCTGGAAGAGGAAAGCTTGCCCAGCCTGGGGGCCTGAGATAAAATGAGGACAAAGTTGATGGTGGGGACTGAGAGAGACCCCAGGAGTTAGGGACGTGAATAGAGGCCAATCTGTGTGACCAGCCATTCGCCACATACCAGGCGCAACTCACCTGCAGCCACTTCCGGTCTCCGTGCCATAGAAGGCGGGAGCCCAGGTGCAAAATTATTTAGAGAATCAAAGGAATCTTTTCAGCTCTTTTCTTATCCTCCATAAAATAATCTTCTACTCCTACTGGCTTTATTGGTCAGTGACCTTTGATTGCGGTATTTTTTTCAAATTTCAGTTTCAGGCTCTTCAATATCCTAGTCAACTTCAACATTTCTGTGTTATCTCTTGTACTATATTCTTGGAAAATACCGCTCTCTGGCCAATAGGTGTGTCATGGCTGCAGGCATAAATGAAATTTGAACCTTTTGCCACATCTTCACTTCCAGGTATTTCCAGGTAAGGAAATGCCTATCTCAACACCCACACCCCTTGGTGATGTGCACTTAAGAATATAGAAGGTAGCTGGGCCTGGTGGCGCATGCACCTGTAGTCCCAGCTACTCAGGAGGCCAAGGCAGGAGACTCATTTGAGCCTGGGAGGTCGAGGCTGCAATGAGCTGTGAACACGCCACTGCCCTC